GTTTCTTGAACATGACAATGAGTTCACTGTACTGTCCTTTAGGTCAGTGTATAGTTGTACATATCTATCATAAGAGATTGCAGTTTGGACACCTTAAATTATCAGCAATAATTTAAGAATAAAGCCAGTTCCATACCCCTGATATGATTCTTCTTCAGAACTTGGAACAGGCTCAGCAGGGGCTACCACAGCAGAGGGAATATTCAGCACCGTATTCCCTCTGGCCTCTAGCTCCTGGATCATCCTATTGGTCCTGTGAAACAAAATAATGTCTATGCTTACTTTCAAGTACAATAAACATAATAAATAATCCAAATCAATGAAGTACTTCTGAACTCAAGGCAAAAACTGTAACACATACCTGCTGATGGGATCTGGGTCCTCCAACAGTGCCCTTAGGAAGCCATAATCCCAAATCCGTCCACTACGCAGTAACTCTGCTGCCTCCACCTTCGATGGTTGTTGTAGGGTGAGGGTCTCCTGGAGGGTCCACGGCAAGAGCCTTTAAAAAGGCTTTGGTAGAGGAAATTGTGCTCAAGGTCCTGATGAAGGTCTGGAAGTCTTGGAGGTCTTGAAGACGATTCGTGACGATGGGTTGTGTACAAGAAGGCCCAGGGCCAAATGGGTACCCTATAATGGGAACCTGGCTTTCGCTCGTGGTGTCGGAAAAACAATAAAAAAAAACATACCCTGTAAGTAGATATAGGAGGTCGAGACGAGTCTGGTGATATGCTTTTTATCTCGATCGGACTTATGGAAGGCGAGGTATTCGCATGTAAAGAAATTTTCCATCGACCAAGTGCATTATGGGTTAAAATCCTGGATGGGCGTGGTTAAAACCAGAAAGTGGGAGGAGTTTTCTCCGCCCAAGTGCATTATGGGTAAAAAAAACAAAAACAAAATTGAAATCGCGAGTGAAGATAATCATGAAATTCATGAGGTTTCGGCCGAGATGAAGGCCGGGTCATGGATTTTCGGATCCGCCGGTGAGACCTCGTCTCCCATGGGGCCTCCTGGGGCCCATTTTGTGAAATTAATACAGGTTATACTATGGTTCTAGTATAATCTATTATTGGTTGATTCAAGATTGACTCACCAATCGGAGTCTCGGCCAGGGCAGACTCCGCCCTGTTGAAGGAAAACCCCGACAAACCTCCAGGGTTAAGATTAGAGAATGCAGGGCTTCAAGGTATATGGTTCCAGATAAAGAATATAGGTTCCAAAAAGAAAATGGGTTCCAGATAGTAATTAGGCTAAGGGATCCAGGTTATGGTTCCAGATAGGCAATAGTTTAAGGGTTCCGGATTGTGGTTGGGATTGCAGACAGGAATTAGGTTTCAGGTTCACCTAGTAGTCATGGTTGAGGTTCTAGATTAGGTTTTATAGTTCTAAAATAGGCTTTTTGGTAGGTTTTAAGTGGGTATTAGGAGAAATAGTAAACTTCTTCTAACTGATGGGAAATCAATTACGGTTATGGTCAATGGTTAGGTTATGGTTTGAAGATGTGGTCAGAAAAGGCATTAAATGTATCATAAGATGTAATTTACGGTTATGATTCTAAGGAAATAATTAAGATTAGGTGACGGGTTAGGAGTCAGGGCTTAGGGCTTGAGAACTGGTTAAGCTTTAAGACAAGAGAGGGTTATTTAAGAGATGGTTAGGTGTATGGTTAAGGGGTAGGTTTATGGTTTCAGAAGAGGATTAGAATTAGAGGTACAGTTAAGATATCGGTTTAGGTCATAGGCAAAGATATGGTCATCAACCAGAAAAAAGTTAAGTTTACGGTTAAGATGTGGTTAGGTCATAGTAATAGTTATGGTCAAAAAAATTTAAAAAAAGCAGTTATGGTTTCGGTTTTACGGTTATGGTTAAGGGTTAGGTTTAGGTTAGTGTTTGATGATGTGATCAGAGAAGGAATTAAGTGTGTTATGGTTAAGTTTAGGTGCCGGGTTTTAGGAGTAGGGGCTTAGGGCTTGAGAACTGATTAAATTTAAAACCAAAAGAGGATTATTAAGAGAGCAGTTACGGCTACGGTTAAGGGTTTGGTTTTTGGTTTCAAAAGAAGATTAGAGTTAGATGTAGAGTTAAGATATGTGGTTAGGTCATATGTAAAATTATGGTCAGAAAACTGAAAGTAGTTAAGTTTTCGGTTTTATGGTTATGGTTCCTAAGAGGTTACGGTTAAAATGAGGCATCAGGATTAGGTTAAAAAGTGCCAAATTAGGTTGCTAAATTTACGGTTAGGCAACCTAATTCCAAGATTTATGGTTTTAGGTTTAGGTAATATCCTCCAGTATTTTTAGGTTTAGGCCTTCCTCCTAGAATTTTACGGTTAGGCATTCCACATCCAAAAATTATGGTTTAGGTTTAGGCAAGGATTACGGTTAGGGTTACAGGGTGTATGGTTATGGTTAGTGGCTATGGTTAGTGTTTGAGATCGGATTAAGCTTTAAGACAAGAGATGGTAGTAAGGTTATGGTTTAATGGTTAAGTGTAGGCTTATATTAGGAATTATGTTTTAAGTGTTGAAATAAGACTAGGTAAAATTAAGTTTGCAATACGAGATTGTACTGTTGTTAGCATGAGGATTATAGTAAATGGTTAGGTATACGGTTTAACAACAGGATTTGGTGTAGGGTAAAGTGTACGGAATCAGGTCAAAGATTGTGGGCTAAAGATTAAGGGTTATGATTTGAGAAAGTGGCTATGGTTTAAATAAGGTATTAGTTAAGGTAATTATGGCTGTTTAACTGTTTCATTGTCGCCGCCTAGTGGTTCGGACGCATACGTC